CCTGTGTTCCTCAGGACTTGGGCATTCTCTCCACTAAGAAAAGAATAGGGTTAGGGCCCCACCCCACCCCCTTCTCCTTTGCTGATTCCTCATTTCTTTTCTGGGCCTGGAGGAAGTTCAGGGCTTTTGTTTCATTGTGATGTAATTACTGGCTGCCGAGGGCCCTAAGATTCCTGGGGAGGGAGGCCTGTCTGGGTACCTGCTCTGTGTCTTTGGGAAACGCTGTGAAATGATTAACTCTGCTCTTGCTCTGCTGCTTCTGAGAACGGCATGCGGTTGTGTTTGAAGGAGGCTGTCGCGAGGGCTGGGGATCGCACTGGGTGCCAGGCCGGTGCCTCTGAGCCAGCTGCCTTTGCAGTTAGCTCGGAAGACCCGGGCTTTTCACAGTCCGATGGAAATGGAGAGATCATTTCCTGGGCTGATTCCGGCTTCCACTTGGTAGCCTGGCGTTTCTATAACTTCGAACCTGCGTCATTAATTTAACAGGCTCAGCTGAGCATCCAGGCTCTGCTTTTGGAGAGCAGTGGTGGAGGAGGAGGAGGAATGATGGTTGGCTTTGAAAAATAGCTTCCTTTTATCGAGTGCATGCTCTTTGCTAGGTATTACACTGAGAGCTTCATGTGGATTAACTCATTCAGTTCTTCAGTAACGCCACAAGGTCCTGTGACACCCACCTTACGGGAGAACGGAGGCACAGAGGTTACACAGCTTGCGCAAGGCGGCCCTGCTGGGCGGCTGCAGAGAACTAGGCACCCAACCACTGTGACACCCTGTCTGTATCCCCTGGACCAGGCCTACGAGAACACATGTCCCCTGACTTCCACGTAGGGTGACCAGCTCATCCCGCTTCGCCTGGATCTGGCCATCTCCGGCTGCCCCAGGGTTGGCCACCCTACTTCTGTGGCCCGCGGTGCCTGTCCACCGAGCAACCCTTTTCCTTCAGGCCCCGCAGGCTTTGCTGTGGACGTCATGTAGGACATTTCACAGCCACGATACACACCACAGGGCTGGGCCTTGTCGGCCTTCCAGCTGGGGCCCTTTCCTTCTCTGGAGGACACGGGTCCCTGTCATGGTGTGTCATTTCCCAGACTCGGGAGCATGGTGAGTGCTGTGACTCAGGCTCCGGATGTGGGCGGGGGTGGGAGCGCCCGTCTGGGACGCCTGGCTGGAGATTGGAGAGGAGTGTCATGGGAGAGGAGGTGGCAAAGGCCAAGTTCTGATGCCTCCATCGGAAGATTGGGGGGTGAGTGCACTTTCTGGGGGCAGCCTCTGAGATGCTGGCGTGCATCGTCTACGAGGGACAAGCACCACGGTCCATGTTTCTCCCAGTTAGTTCCCGGGGCTCCCAATCGAACGTCCCTCCACCCCGTCCCCCCCAGGTCACATCTGCAGTGGGGACAGAGAAAGGCAACATGAGAGTGTGCTCTTAACACCTAGACCCTGCATTAGGACATCGTCTCACCAGAGCTGAGACAAGCCTCTCCTAAGCCTCCCAGCCCCGCTGCCTGGGTTCAAATCCCAGCCCCCCCACTTGTGTGCTCTTGGGCAGTGACTTAGAGGCAGGACTCGAAGGGCATTTTGAACACTGCCTGGTACTTTGTATGTGGTAACAGAAAGCCTTAGCTGTTACTACTGTGGCTCAGGGGCCATGGCCGGGTGGTTCAGTTGGTTGGAGCATCATCCTGTACACCAGGAGGCTATGGGTTCGACACCCGGCTGGGCTGTGTATGGGAGGCAACCAGTTGATGTTTCCCCCGTCCTCCCTTTCTCTAACTAAAATTGCTAAGCATATCCTCGGGTGAGGATAAAAACAACGCCGTGGCTCAGGAAAGCTGAGAAGATCCTGGGTAACCTGGAAGTAACATGTCCCTTAAGTCAAGGGACATCTAGGAAGGGTTGAGCGGGGGTTGTGAAGTCCAGGGCTCATTTCTGGCGGCCCACAAGACGGCGGGCCGGGACCCGTCTCATCCTGTGCTGGGGTCCTGACACCCACAGACCTCCCTGCATTATTGAGATTTCGGTGAACTGTCTCAAGGAGCGGAACTTTCTGTGCTTCCTGCTCCATGCTGAGCTGTTTTCCTGAGTCACTGCTCTGTCCTTTTCCTCCCCGCAGCTTTCCTCCCTCGCCCACGTTAACTCCTTCAGAACCAGGCTTATTCGGGGGCCTGGGGGTGGAAAGTGGGGGGGTTGCTGGTGTGCCAGCTCAGTGGAGTCGCAAAGTTCTGCTACCTCCCAGAAAGGTCCTTCAGATCAAGGGGGGACCATCTCCCTGCTCAGAGCCTGATTGTCATCCTTCCAAGCTTATAGATCAAACGCGTTTAGCAATGCCGCCTCGATCAGAATTAAATCTTTAAAGAAGGGAAAAAATACTTGACTCAGCTTTCTGGGAAAGGTCCTCAAGGCTGCTTCGTCACCATGACGACAGCAAGGGCCACAGCACCCCGGAGAGGCCTGGCCCCCACCGGAGTGGGCAGGCCTTTATGTCAGGATGCTGAAATACCTCTCGTGCCTCTGATGGCTGCCATAGCCCGGTTTTTCTCCCTAAGAGCCTTCATGGAAAACTGTGGCTGTTGACGGATGGGTGTGCGTGTTGCTTGGAACCTATTAAATTTCTGCCCTTTGGATGCAGCCGCTGGAGCCCCGTTAGCTCTGGAGGGAGTTGGTGTGTTTGTAACCGGGAACAAAATTGAGGTTTTTATGTTTTGCCGAGACAAGAAGGTTGGGGTCCTTTGAGGTGAAGGCAGCCTTGGGTCCCCCGTTTCCCCTTTTGTTTTCTGTTGGGCTCCTTAGTTGTAAATTGCTCATGAGTGTTTTCATTTCCAGTGATCTCCCCTGCACCCTGTCCCCCCTTTCCCACGGAATTAAAGAATTCGAAAGTTCAAAAGGAATGTGAGGTTTAAAGGACCCTGTTCTTCTTGATCTTTATTGCTGATGACACCTTTGGGAAGGTGAAGTGGGCATGGCCCTTCTTCCCCAAAAGTGGCACCCACCCTTAGAACTGTGGCACGTGGGACCCACCCCGGAAGCACGGTCGTGGGCTCCAGGTGAGATGTTCTAGTCTGGCTGCTTTCTCTCCTGTCCTCCTGCTTTCCAGGTGCGGCCCTGGGGCTCTCAGAGGTAGTGACTGACCTGGGGTTGTCTCCTGGTCAGCAGTCTTTGGTCCCTCGCCACTCCTCGCCTGACTCCTATTTCCTGAGTCCCGGGCCAGGGCCAGCCCCACAGGTAGCGGTGGGGAGGAGAGGAGATTGGTGTATTGTGCTCTCTAGGTGTGAGAGTTCAGAGGCCGCCCCCAGGCACACTCCCAAGAGCTTTGCAAACCAGTCAAGCCTGTGTGAGAGCTTCTCAGTCCTCCAGAGGGCTTGTTAAACCCCTGGTGGCCAGGCCTCTCCGGGAGTTTCTGGTTCTGTAGGTCTGGGGTGGGGCCTGAGACTGCATTTCTTGCAAGTCCCCTGGTGAAGTCTCTGCTGCGAGCGTGGAGACCACACGTTGGGAACCATCGGTCTCAGCTGCAGGTGGGAACTCAGAACGCCCGAGGAGGAACTGACGCCCTTTCTGGCGTCAAAGGTTGGCTGCACGTGGGCTCGGCTGCCTGCCCCGTGCCCCAGCTCAGCAGCGGTGTCCTCCGGGAGTGTGTGGGAGGGATGTGGGGGCTCTTGTTTGGCCAGTGTTTGGGATTGCTGACGTCATTGCATGGGAGGGTGCCGGGGTGGCCCTTGCAATGAGGAAGAGCTGTCCCTTCCAAAATCCAGTAGTGAGTGCTCCGTTGAGAAACATCAGAGCACACCACGTAATTTTTCCCTAACGTGCCCTAATTTTCCCACTGGTGTGCCTTTCTTCGTATGCTTTCTTGCTTCAAAAGTTACCCCAAGATGGAGAAGAAATACAAAATCTAAACCTCGGCCCAGTTGCTTTCGGTTTTTACCCGGCCAGGATGCCATTTCTTGTAGGACACAGGTCCTCTGAGTTCCCAGAACACCTTTCGCACACAGCCAGACACTGACACCTGCGCGGAGATATCTGCGTTTGTCACATCTGTGGAGATCAAATCCCAGACACCTTCCTTTGATCAGCCCCGACTCTGTCCATGCGGCGCCGTTGTTTTATATCCTGAATCAGGCCTCCATCACCCACTCTTCCTGGCTTTGGTTTGTACCTCCTGCCTTTCCCCCCAATGTGAAATTGAACCTCCTAAATACTCTATTTTGATAAAGTTGTCCAGATACCTGGTAAATACTGTACACACGGGTTACACAGTGAAAAGCAATCCCTTCCCCACACCCACGCAAGTTCTCCCCCCCTGAGGCAACCACCAGTCCTTATTTAGAGCAGTTGGTTCATCCAGGAATATTCTAGGCTTAATACAAACGGGGAGACACATATATTACATCTGTTTTTTTGGGGGGAGGGGCATGTGTGTTGGTCCCTTAATAGTGCTAGGCATATGTTGCCTTTTTAACCCGATGCAGAAGCTCGGAGACCTCCGGCGTCAGCCCAGGCCGAGGCGCCTCATTCCTCTTGAAGGCTGCAGAGCAGCCCACTGTGTGGCTGGGGTGGAGTCGTCTTGTGCGTGCTTTGCTCCCCCGTGACTGTGGCTATAGACCATAGACCGTGTTTCTTGGAGGCAATTGCTGGGCCAAAGACCTTGTGTGAAAGGGAGAGTTTTGGTGGTGGAGTGGGGCGGGGATCCCTGGGGGATGGAGGAAGTTTACCCCGGGGGAACGGGCTGTTCCCAGCTGTGCCTTTTGACTGCGTTTTCTCACTAACTAGCTGCCGTGCGCCTCGGGGCCAGCCCTTTGGGCTCCGCAGGCCTCCTAGTAGACGTTTGTGGGAGGACCCCTGCCCTTCAGGGGTCTGTTCTCCCTCCAGGAGCCTGTGGTTGGCATTTAATTTCCTCTCGGGGCTGTGTCTCGGGGAGAGACCCTGAACATTGGTTCCGGCTTTTCCTGGGGCCTGTCTGGTGAGACTGGATTTTGTCACAGCCGCTCATTGTCTTGCTTTAGAGCCTGCCTGCCGCGACATGCTCCGCCTTTCGGACCAGAGTAAACCATTAGGAAGCCTTGCATGTGGCCGTATTGGACCCTGTTAATCTGCCCCGCAGTGGCTCCTGTCCAGACACAGAGGATGATGACACACGGGACACAGTCTGCGTGCTGGGACTTGCCTGGGAGTTAAAACTGGAGGAGGAACGTCGCCAGGCTATCTTTGGGGATAATCAGCTTTCCGGATTCCGTGTTTCATCCCAGCACCTGCACTCTTCCACGTAGCCCTTCCCTCGCCCGGTGTCTGTAGCTCTCTCATTTCTCAGCGTGTCAGGTGCGCCAGGCCGCGCCCTCATGCCATCCCTAAGCTGACCAGACAGCTGTCGGGCATGGAATGGATTCAGAGTCTTGCAGGTGAAGATTGGGGTGGTGGTGGAAGTGTATCTGGGTTTCAGTGAGATTCTGGGAGAATTAAAATAGAGAAGAATGAATGGACAAAGGCGAGGTGGGCGTTTTACAGATGAGAATCAGTGAGAATGTGATTTGGGTCGATTTCTTTGGAGGAGAGTTGCACGCGCAATGCCCACCGTGGGCTGGGGCCATGGACGCTTTCTGGCCGGTGGGTTGTATTCTTTTTGCCTTGGTTACACGTTGTTTGCCTGATAAAACATCAATAAATGTTGCCGTCGTCCATGATCAAGTATGTTCGCCTTTGTTTTCTTAAACGCGTGGCCTTTCTGGTCTGTCTTTCCTGGTTTCCTGCTCTCGCTGTCAGAACCGGATGTGGACAAGAGATACTTCTTTGGGATAAGGATGATGCCAGTGCCTGCGTGACAACTCGTGGCCGCTGGATCACAAGCCTTGTCAGCAGACAGCAGCAGGGAAGGGTGGGGATTGTGGCGAAATAGAGGCCCCATTTTCTCGTAGAAATGCAATGCATGCCTGGTATTCAGATCATTCTGTTGCCATAAGGCCCTGATCTGTTTTGTGGGTTTTTTTTTTTTTTTTGAGAGAAATCAAAGTCCGAGGTTATTTTGTGGAGCCTCCCCAATTTTATATTTTGGCAGCGAACTAAAAACGTTTACACAGATGTTCCGTAGGCCAAAGAGAGGCGGCCTGGCCTCTGAGATAGGTAACTGAATGTGGGGGCGGGCGGGTGTATTTTAGCAGGAGGGTTTGGGGGCAAAATGCCTGGGGTCCTCCACACCACCTCCCTGTGGAGAGGGGGGTGCCTGGGCCTCCCTGATTGCTGTAAAATGTCTGGTCCTGTGTGTCTCTTTCAGATCCTGGCTCCACAGAGAGAACGGCCCAGAAAAGGAAGTTCCCAAGCCCTCCGCATTCCTCCAATGGCCATTCTCCACAGGACACATCAACTAGCCCCATTAAAAAGAAAAAGAAACCGGGCTTACTGAACAGTAACAATAAGGAGCAGGTAAAGGGCCGCCGGGAACGGTGTCCACACCCGAGGGACAAAGGCTGGGTCTCAGGAAGCGCAGCTGTCTGGGTTTCTCTAAGAGCTGGCTCTTGGCATTTAACTCAGGGCCTGACTGGCTGCCATTGGCCTAGGACAGGAAAGGGCAGCTCAGAAGGGGCCCGTGCAGACATTTCTGGCGGGTGTTCAGATCTGTTCTGGGGACAGGGCGGGGACCCAGAGGCGCTGAAGATCCTGTGCTCTAGGGTCTGGGGCTTTTCCTTGGGTTTCTGTGTGTCCCCCCGCCCACCACCCCCCTGGCTGGGGAGGATTTTTCCCTCCAGGGCCTCAGCAGCGAGATAGCTCTCACCTCTGCCTGGAGGCATTTGTGTGGCTGAGGCATACTCCCTTCTGCTCTCAGTTTTCTCATCTGTAAAATAATGGGTTTAGGCCTGTGGGCCTGTGGGGAGACACCGCCCATTGCTCCTGGTAATTAGTCTCCCTTCCTTCTCACTATGCCGAGGCCCGGGGCAGCAGACCCCAGCCTCCCTGGGCAGCTGGGGCCAGTCTCCTAGATATGAGTGGCTATTTGCCACCTTGGATCCTGCTAATAAAGAAACCTTCTAGCTGTAGAAATTCTCTGATGCGGGCTAGATGCATTTCTGATTTAAAAAAACGAGAGGTACTTCTGTGTGGACCATGAGGCCACGTCTCATGGTGCCAGAGGAGACAGGATGACCTGCGGTTCTGGTACCACTTAGGCAGGGATTCCTCCATGTGTGCATGCCTTTCGTGCGCCCCGGAGTGCCGAAGTGAGCTCTGGGGATTTGAGGTTGAATAAAACAAGATGATTGCTTTCACGGGAAGAGAACCTAGCAGCGGTTAAATGCCCAGAACTGTGAGAGGGTGCGTTTCCGCACACTAATCTATTTTCATTCTCAAATTATATAGCGAAATGCCAGCCCTGCTTTTGCTCTATGGCTGTGGGCAAGTTAACCTCTTTGTGCCTAGTTTGCCCCGTCTACTGAAATGAGGATGCGACTCCTGCTATAGGTTTTCTAGGTTGTTAAGATGAAGTGAGCGAAATGACATAAATAACAACAACAACAACAACAACAACAATAATAATAATAATACTAAAGCCAGGCTCCGTACTAAGTGGAAAAACCACACAAACTACACAGGACATAATTCAGCAGCAGCTCTAGAAATGTCCTAGGCCTGTGCTGTTCTGTATGATTGTCACAGGCCGCATGTGGCCGTGGAGCACTGGCAAGCGACAAATGTGGCCCAGGAACCGAATTTCTAATTTAATTTAAATTTAAGTGGCTACCTGTAGGTACCGTGTTGGGCACTGCAGGTCTAATCCTATTAGAACTGGAGAAATTGGTGGGTCCGAAACAGATTTCTGGGGGGGCTGCCCCTTGAAGGACATACGGTAGTGTCGGTAATCATGAAAATGAAAGCGGTGCCTGTAGTGTGCTGTGCCCTGTGGCAAGTGCTGTCCCATGTTAATCTTTAAATTTTTTTTACTGAGTCATAATTATTAAAAACTTGATTTTTAGAGAGAGAGAGAGGTATTGATTTGTTGATCCACTTATTTATGCATTCATTTGGTTGGTTCTTATATGTACCCTGACCGGGGATTGAACCTGCAACCTCGGCGTGTTGGGATGACTCGAACCAACTGAGCTACTCACCCAGGGCTGGCATATGACATTATGTTAGTTTCAGATTCCCCCCCCCCGCCCCCTTACCTCCATTCTCAGGTTTCTTTGTTAATGTTACCCTGTGAATAAGGGCTGTAATCACCTCCGTTTTGCAGATAAAAACAGGTTCAAAGAGGTTAAGTTGCTTCCTTGAGGCCTTAGAGAGAGTAAGAAGCTGCCTTTGAGTTTAGGTCTCCCTGTCACCCAGGAGCTACTGTACACCTGTTGGGATTAAAGACTAAGAAAGAAACACAAAGGCCGCAGATAATCCCCAAGCCCTACTTCAGCCAGTCATTAGCTCCCTGGGCAAACGCTTCCTTACCGACTACCTGTGTGTGGGTCACCAAGCAGTTCATGCATTATTCTCTCCCTCCCCGTCCGTGTATTAACACCATTTCTGCAACACTTACACCTCACAACCACATCGGGGTGTCTGTCCATCGGGGTCCCCCTCTGGACCGTCGGCTTCAGAAGAGAGGCCCGTGTCCACACTGACAGTTGCTGTCTCCCCAGAGTCTGACCCAGGGCGGGAGGTGATGAATGCAGAACACGTTCAGGGTGTGGTGAATAGCAGGGCACGGGTGACTGGACCAGAGCACTGTGCTCCGACTCCGCCGTCCTGGCCAGTCCTGGGGGCAGAGTTTCCAGGACGTGGCACTGGAGGGAAGGTGTGGCAGGCCTGCAGGCAGGGAGGGCCCCTTTTCGCCCCCCTGCACCTGGGGAACTGGCCGTGTGACCTTGGCAGTCGTTTCCTGTCCATGAGCTTTAGTTACACTGCACAAAAGGGTTCGGACTAGGGACATCAGCAGGCTGATCGCAGGGGCTGAATGGCCAGCAGTTGGCAGAGGGGAGATAGTCTTTGCTGAGAGGAGAGGAAATGGCTGACCTTGACTCTGACTCACTGTAGCACATAAAGCTTCTTACATCCTATGGGCGGCCCCTCCCGTGCACAGCCTGCTTTCCTAAGGGGGACTTAAATCCTTTTTTTAAAAGAACACATGGCCTTCAGGATGCTTTCCTTTTTCTATTCCTTTTCCTGTCCTTTCTTTTTTAGAATTATGGAATTAAAGCCAAATTGTAGCTTGCACATGTTGTGTTTGACGAACATAATATAATTCTCTTTAGTCACCGACACTTGAAGATTATGAGATTTCAGATAACAACTTACATTCCTGGGTTCTTCTAAAACTCAGAATCCAGCCAATAGCTGGAGCTGAGTGGATCCTGCCCCTTTGGACGCAGGGTCTGTGTGCCCTGGTTTTCCACACTCCCCACCCCTCCCTACTGTACCATACCCTGCATGCTTCACTCATTCCTTCTGTCTCTAGCTTTCTTAAGTGTTTGAGTTCTTTTGATTTTTGACATACGAGATCTGTCCAGAAGGTATCCAGACATATAATACGAAAAAGAGGCATTTATTGAAGAAGATACAAGATACAAGAAACATTACACATAGGACAGTGACTCCTCAGTCCCCTTCAAAGTAGGCACCTTGGGACCTCACACAGTTCTCCCAGTCACCATCAGCTGCCCCATCACATTTTCCTGAATCTTATCAACAGTCTGAAATCTCTTCCCTTTCAAAGGTGATTTCAGTTTTGGGAAAAGCCAGAAGTCACGGGGCACCAAATCCGGGCTGTAGTGGGGCTGAATCATCTGGGTGATTTGATGTTTTGCCAAAGCACCCTGCACAAGACGTGATGCATGAGCAGGCGTATTGTTGTGATGAAGCCTGCTGTCACCAGTTGCTCATAGCTGCGGCCTCCTGAGCCATCCAAATACTTCCCGTGGAGGAATATTGAGGCTTAACACAAAATGTGATGCGGATTCATTGCTCTGTTCACTCTGTCATTGTGAGTGTGACGACCACACAGTACACATTCTCACTCAACAGCATCTACCGCCCCACTGTCTAGTACAGTGAAGTCATCATTGTTCACGCATGTGCATCCTGGTTGACTCTCCTTGGCTGCCAGGTTACATCAATGTCAGGCAGACTGTTCTTGTTATATGAACAATGGCTGTGCCTTTTCTGGACAGACCTCATATATTAAGGTTCTCTACCTCCTTCCTTTTTTCTTGTCCTCTATTCTCTTTTGTATTCTAATGTTCTGAAAACAAAGCCATTCTGGCCTTATTTTTAAAAATCCTGTATGTTTCCGTTTTTGGTAATGACCTTTTATTACCAAGTACAGGTATGGGTTGAGTTTTCAGGTTGGGACCCTGTTCTCATGTATTGGGGATTCAGTACTTTTAGTGGAGTTTCAAGAAGAGCTTTAAAACATACTGTATTTTTAGGGGGAAAAGTATTCTAAGATTTATAATTAATTTTTAATGCCTTTTCGTCCAGTGGTTTCACCCCTTAAGAAACTTTTGAAACCATGTAGGTGCCTTTTCTTGGTTCTACTCCGAGAAATATCCCAAAACCTAGAAGGATGCTCCTGGCTTTTTGTTTTGTTTTTTTTCATCGTCATCTGAGGACATTTTTCCATTGCTTTTAATGGGAGGGAGGGAGGGAGGGAAGGAGGGAGGGAGAGGAACCTCAATGAGAGAAAGAAGCTTTGATCAGCCGTTTCCCAGATGTGCCCAGACCAGAGATTGTAGGCACCAGGACTAAGGGAAGGAACCTGCAACCCAGCTATGTGCCCTGACTGGGAATTGAACCCATGACCTTTCGGTTACTGGACGATGCTCCAACCAGCTGAGCCACACAGGCCAGGGTGCTCCTGACATTTTGTGGAGGAGGGTCAGGTTGCCAAACACCCTGCAGTTGATGGGAGATGAGAAATAGCTTGTCCCCAAATGACATTAGGGCCATGACTGCAAAATAGCACTCTTATCTTTAGTTCTCGGGTCATCTGAGTTTGAAGATTCCTTTTGGAAGCCCTCCTTCCTTCCTTTCTCCCTCCCTCGTTTTCTTCCTTCTTTCCTTCCCTCACCAAAGTATTGAGAAGTAATTGCTAACAGACTCGTACAAAATGGCCTTAGGTATACTTTGATCAAATACGACAAAGAAATCATGGTGCCCTCCTCACCTCTGAGTCCAGGGTGCGTACATATCATAACTGGGCCGGCCAGGACTTATGTTGGTGGATCCATGCATTGTCTTCAAACCCTGGGCGTTTCACAGAAGTCCTTTTTTGGGCAGCGGCAGTGTATTAGCAGTCGAGCCAGTGCAGGGGCCAGCTGGGTTGCTGGTGTGGTCCTAAATCGGGCGGCACCGTGGTGGGTGCCCACCTTGCTGCCTTGGCCAGTGGGGCCGGGTGGAAGTGCTCCCCTGCAGTGGCCGTGAGCCCTGCCCCCCTCCCAGCC